AGACAGGACAATGTTCAGACAGACAGAGAGACAGGACAATGTTCAGACAGACAGACAGGAGGACAAAGTTCAGACAGACAGACAGGACAATGTTCAGACAGACAGGAGGACAATGTTCAGACAGACAGAGACAGACAGACAGGAGGACACAGACCTGGTTCCTCAGACTCGCTGAAAGCCGGCAGGCGGGCTGTAGGACCTGGGAGAGGCAGGGAGGACAGGGGGTCGTCCTGGAAACAACACAGGAAGTAAGGACCTGAAAATTTTACTGACAGGAACTGAGACAGCTGTCAATCAAAGAGAAGCTCCGCCCAGACACAAATTGCCTCTCAGAAATCAGATCAAAGAAACATCTGTTTACCTGCTGTTCATAAAAACATCTGTTGATTCATAAAAAAACATCTGTCTGAGATCAGAACCGGTGCTGGACCAGAGAAGTTCTGCAGGAGAACAAACCTGGAAGTTGTCCTTCTCCAGGGCCTCCAGCTGCCGGGTCAGCCTCCTCTGCCGGGTCGCCTCATCCAGAACCCGGCGCTGACCCGCTTCAACCCGAGCTCAAACAGAGACACACACAGAGTTAGAGGAGGAGGTTCTGAGAGGAGAACCGGCTTCAAGTTCTCTACGTCAGGTCCAACAGATTCTGTTGAATTTAAATTTATTATCTGTCCCTTAACAACACGGTCCGGATCGGACCAGGTAAACCTGGACCAGGTCTCTGGTGGTCCACCTGACTCTTCTGCGTTAATATATAACCCAGTCCAGATCGGAGCAGGTAAACCTGGACCAGGTCTCTGGTGGTCCACCTGACTCTGCATCAATATATAATAACCCAGTCCGGATCGGACCAGGTGAACCTGGACCAGGTCTCTGGTGGTCCACCTGACTGGTCTCATTCATCACTCAGAAACCTGAAACTGTCATTTGTAAAGTTTAGACTGAAAACAACCTCCGCTGTTCAAACTCACAGCGCAACATTTATAATTCATAAATATAAATGTTTCTGTTTGTTGAAGGCTTCAGTAGAAATGGGCTGAATTAAAAAATATAAACTTTAATAATAAAACGTGTAAAGACTCGGGGAACAAACGAAGCTTCCGTGTTGCAGCGTAACGTTTTACCAAATTAAACTTCTTTAAAGGAATTCACATTTTCTAACCAAACTTTACCGGCCGAACGTTACAATAATTCTTATAAATCATTATAATGTAGAGTAAGTTTCACTAATAACTTAAGTTATTTATTAAACTACGATTCAGCTTTAGGTTGTGTTTTTTTCAGTGTAATCTGGTTCGGCAGCTGTAGATCGGAGATAAAAGCTGACAGCGATTTATCTGGTGTTTATTATTTATTTGTTTATTATCTCTAATATACACAAATCCACTGTATCAGAATTTTATTTTAACCAGAAAAAATATTTACAAAATGAGTGAAACTCACCGGAAGTCTTCTTCTCCAGCACCATGTTGTTCAATGGCTGCTCTACGGAAGCCGCGGAGGTTAAATCACACAGCGCGCGAATCTTTTTCGGCTTAAGTTTAAACTGTAAAACGTGAATATTAGGATACAGATTTAAATCTATCCTAAATGTTACATTTTAAAACCTCGGTGAGTTTTGAAATAACGTTGTTGAGTTTTATTATTACAGAAAGTCGCCGTTTATTTTGGCGGGTTTCTTTGGCGCCATCTGGTGGTGTAACTGATGAACTCACCTGGTACTTCCGGCTGTCATCAGCAAACTGCTCGATCCGCCGTGAGAAGATGCTGCTAACATTTCAACTGTCAGACTGAAGAAGTCCTTTGGATCAAAGAAGAACCCGTCCAGAGGACCTTAATCTACCTGGTTAGATTCATCCACCTGGATTACCTGAGCATGAAGCAGGACGGACATTTATCATTCAACACATTTAGACTTTAGTTTCAGGCTTCCTGTCAAACAAATCCCAGTTAAAGGTTCTGTTCATGAAAGGCCATAGTTATAAAATTATAAAATAAGGCCAGGTCTGATAAAAACAAACGCATCATGAAAGGGTAAAATTAGGAACACTAACTTTTATTCTGAAGTTTTTATTGTTTGTTTTCTGCTTTAGAAATAAACAAGTTTACAGATCTATTTAGAAAAGAGGCTTCAGGTGCGTGTTATCTCCATCATGTCTCCATCATGTAAAGTTCATTATTTCATTCAACCTTTATTTATACTATAGTCTGAGCCACGAGGACTCGTTTACATCATCATGAACCTCCACATGCAGTCATTATTTACAACCACATAATCTGAGAACAGATTAAGATCTGCATTAAACCAGCTCCAAAATAAAACACTTTATAAATTAAAGACCAGCAGGAGTTCGTTTATTATTAGTTTATTCTCTCAGTTCTGAACAAATAATTTAAAGCAGTTTGTACAAAGCCAGAGAGCTGATTGGTCAGAAAATTGAAGCCCCGCCCCTCAAACGACTCCAGACGGTTAGATTTTTTACAAAACGAGGAAAATAAATCCCGAGGAGACGTTTCACACAGACTGTCAGCAAAGAGAAAATATAAAAACTAGATCATCAAGAAGAAAATATAAAAACCCTTTAATGTTTCCTCTGAAACATGATCAAAGTAAAACATCCCATAATTTAACACACACCAGTACGCTGGTTTTACATTCACTGAAGGAGGCGTCTGATTGGTTAACGACCTGCTGACCGTAAACGAGGCGCTCCCTCATCAGAGCAGGAGCTCCAGGAAGGTACTGGTCGGGTCCAAACCCTCCGTACGCTTCAGAGGAGCGAAACCAGCACGCGCAGCAAACATTTAGAGGAACAGTAAGGCAGCTCCGTGATTTCAACATTAAATTAGGCTCTTATTTTGAAATGTCAGGCAACGATGCCTTCAAGACCACAAAGTCTGACGTGTTTTTCTGACATTTGACGTTCTGATTCAAAGATAAATAAAGTGACTCTGTTTTTAAAATGCCAACAATGATGCGTTCAGGTTCCCCTCCGACACATCACACACTGAAATTATATAAAACCTATTGTGAGACGACGCGTTCAGGTTCATCACAGAAACCCTGAGGTGGTCAGGGGTCCACAAAGGACACCATGATGTATCTGGTCCCCTTGGTGGTGGGCAGACCCTCATGGTAGTGCGTCAGGCGACCCGGGTGCATGAAGGACCAGCCCTTCCTGGGAGACTCCACCTTACAGTCGTAGCGCAGGAACCTGCAGCCCCCACCCTGAAATCACAGACAGTCAACCTGAAGATTAGAACCTTCAACCTGAAGATTAGAACCTTCAACCTCAGGGTAGAACCTTCAATCTGAAAATAACATCCGTCAACCTGAAGATTAGAACCTTCAGTCTGAAGATTAGAACCTTCAACCTGAAGATTAGAACCTTCATCCTGAAGATTAGAACCTTCAATCTGAAGATTAGAACCTTCAATCTGAAGATTAGAACCTTCAACCTGAAGATTATAACCTTCAACCTCAGGGTAGAACCTTCAATTTGAAAATTAGATCTGTCAACCTGAAGATTAGAACCTTCAACCTGAAGATTAGAACCTTCATCCTGAAGATTAGAACCTTCAACCTGAAGATTAGAACCTTCAATCTGAAGTTTAGAACCTTCAACCTGAAGATTATAACCTTCAACCTCAGGGTAGAACCTTCAATTTGAAAATTAGATCTGTCAACCTGAAGATTAGAACCTTGAATCTGAGAGTTGAACCTTCAATCTGACGGTAGAACCTTCAACCTGAGGATTAGAACCTTGAACCTGAAGATTAGAACCTTCAACCTGAAGATTGGAACCTTCAACCTCAGGGTAGAACCTTCAATTTGAAAATTAGATCTGTCAACCTGAAGATTAGAACCTTCAATCTGAAGATTAGAACCTTCAA